ATTGCGATTTTTCCAAATGTTCTTTAAAATCTTCAACCATATTGTAATATTCTTTAGTATCTTTTTCTCTATAGATAATATGAATTTTATGTGAGAACCATGCTTTAATGCAAAACTTCATATTCTCTGCACGCACTGAATGGCTATCTTCTCTACTTATTTTATATAGTCTAAGCATCATATTGTCCTCTGAATCTCTATCTATAAAGGGCTTTTCATTAGATTCAAGGTTTGTTTTAACCAACTGATTTTTTTCCTCACATCGCATATATATGTAGAGCATAGGATGGGTGTATGACATAGTAAAGTAGAGTGTTTTGAGCAGCTCTTGATTATCATCTATACCTTCTGTGATTGGACTATCTGTGCTCAGGTTATACATCCATCTAGCAGATATAAAACCATTCTGTATAGTTGTAAAGCTTGAAGCTTCAATACCGTTCTGTTTGCAGAAGGAATCAAGTTTTTCTTTTCGTATTTTTTCTTTTGATGCAGCATCTTTATTACTTTGAATTACTTTCATACTTTCCCTGTCATTCCACAGAATATTTAAAGCATCAAGTATCTCATCTTGTCTTTCTCTTGCTGCTTTCATGCCATTGTAATCATCTGTGCTGTTGTTCAGTGGTCTTCCTATTTTTTTTATTATTCTTCCAATATTTAAAAACAAGTCATTTCTTCTGTGGTCCATAGCATATCCATTAAACATGCATTCTAGCATTATCATTTTTATAATGTCTCCGGGCTTCATAGTTATGTACTGGTCTATTTCATTATCAGAAATATCTTTGTTTACCAGATTGAGATAGATATTCATTAAATCTTCATTCACTCCATATGGACTGAATAATATGGGAAGATTTTTATCAGCTAATATCAGTATATCTAAAATGCCCCCTCTTAGATCATTCGTTATAGCATGCATGTAATATATAAAATGTGTAGTAAACATATTACTGTCTATATTTTTCATTGTGTAGTTTAGCTTATCTCTTACTTCCTCTTTTGATTTAAATATTATTGTTGTGAAGGAAGTATACACCAAATCCAATGCAAAAGGCTTATTCTTCTTTGCTAGCTTAAACAGTGTTAACTCGTCTATATTTTTATACTTATTTACTGTTTTGCCATATTCTTCGATTAGTTTTATCATATGTGAATCAAAGTCTTTTATCGTATCACTTAATAAATCATGTTTCTCAAAGGCTGTTGATACCATTTTCTCTAATTCATCTGTTTCTCTTTTTACTTTATCCTTAAAATCAATATCACCTGCTCTAAAAGACCTTATTTCTTCTATCTTGTTTGCTATATTGTTCACGCTTATATCAAAGGGAAGAAAATTATTTTCTATACTTGTTAGATTCTCTTCTGCTATGCCTAGACCAGATTTAAAAGCTTCAGATAATGTCTTTTCACATACAAAATTTCTTGCTTTAGCAAGAAAATCTCTACGGTTGTTAAATTCTCTTCTTCTACAAGCTTTTTTATTTTCCCAATAAGTTTTTATATTTGCTATATCTTCATTGTCTAAAAATCCATTGGCTCTTTGTAAATAAGACAGCGCAACAAGTCCTATTGCTACTCTTTTCAATATTCTCTGCAGGATCATAAATAAATTAAAATATTTCCTTTTTATATTTGACTATTCTATTTCTATAGGGTAAATGCATTTCATTGATGAGTTAGTGAGATAACTGATTGATTTTTGAAACGGCTTCAGCCAATTGGCACACGATAAAGACATTTAACGAACTTTTATCCAATAGAATAGCAGTTATTGGGGCTATTGCTTTGTAAACCACGTTCTCCTAGAAATTTGTCAGCTGTTAATTGATCTATTTTTACTGGTGTATTTGCAAGCCATCATAGTCTGCACTGCTATTCTCGGGTTACATCAACTCTAGGAGAACAAACATTGTATTGACTTGTTCTTTATTGTACAAGGATTGAAATCAAGTATTTGTATTCTGAAGCCTAGCCTATCTTTATAGCTTATCCATATAGATCTTCTATTGCTGCCCAATTGAGTATATGCTTAGATAGCTTAACCATTAGACATGTAAATAAAAAATAACCCGAGAAATTCTGCCTTTTTGCATAAATAAGTGTGGTGATTCCATGAAGGAACTACATCATGTCTGATGTAAAAGGCAATGAGGGAATTGGTCTGAAGATAATGCTGTGATTTATTGGTTGCAGGCTTGCGGCTGCCGGTTGTAGGATGTTTACTGTGTGTCTTGGCGACTTGTGCCAGTGTGTTTACCATCTGGTTATCCTTTGTTTCTTCTTTAGTTTCTGAATGTGTCGTATTCATGTTTGCGCTTGTCAAACACGTAAGTGTATTTACACTTATTTTTTGTGATCTTTAGAATTGATATATGGATTATAGATTAGTTTTCGAGAATACTTATACAGTTTTATCCATTATGTGACACTACATAAGAATGCATAAAAGCTAATTAGACGATATAATCTTTAAAAAATCTGCTAGCTGGCTTAACTATGCTAAGACTTGTTTGCACAGCAGATGATTGACTCAAATAAATAACAGGGCCTTCTGAAAGAAAATGACTTTGTGTGCTAAAATTTCTGAAAAAATTTTAGAAAAATTTTCTAGAAATATGGCAATAGTGCCTAGTATGACAGGGCAAATTTTTAGGTTTAAATATTTTTTTACCTCTAAAAATTTTGCAATGATGAAGAAAGAAGTAAAATTAAGGATAAACATCGAGAAAATACTGGAAGCGTGCAACTCTATTGCTAGCAAAGAGACATCAGGCTTTATAGGCAATGGAGATTCCACAGTTTATATGAGTGAGCTAAGAGCGATATTTAATAAGGACAGTCTGGAAATAGAAAGCGAGCATAGTGCTGAGGAAAAGGAAAACCTTTTAAGCGCAATTAAGAAAAAAATATTTCAGTATTTTGCGTACAATAAATATGGAATGGAAGACATGTCTAGTTTACATGAAGCATTAATGATCGGAAGGAAGGACTTAATTACCAGTAGCTGCATTCGCGTACTTAATGGGCTCATAAGGGAAAACCCATTCATATACAACCCAAGACACGGAATAATCGGAAAGATTGGTGCAGATGGAGCACCAGAGACTATAACTCTGAGTGATGATAATCAGGACCTGAGCGATAGAACATGCTTGCTGGAGGTTGATCTTACAAACTTTTCTGATACAAAGAGCCTGCTTCAGTTCGCTTCAGAGGGTCTGGATAGGGAGTCTTTCTCCTACATTACTTTCACGGCGCATCTAATACGCAATTCCATGAATATGGATGCAGGCATTTTAAAAAAATATTCACCAGGACTTAAAGAGCGCACTCTGGACGAGCTATATACCAAGAAGCATAAAGACACCGGTGTAGCACTGATAGATCACGGGATGAACTTTTTCTACGAAAACTACTACAAATTCCAGCGCTTGATCATCGACATTAAAGGCATGGATGCCAATTTGAACTCTGATCTGGAAATTGACCTGGAGGAAATAGCTAAAAAAATTGGCGAAGTATTTACTTCTGAAGAAGACCTAGAAATATTTGTTTCCATCAAAGACAATCTAACAAAAGTTAGCTACGAAAAAGAGATACAGAAGCAGACACTCAAAGCGATAGAATACATGGCGAACAACGCTCTGTTCTCAAAAGAAGCAGACGGATCTATTATCTTGAAGACAAGCAACAGTCTGAGTGATTTTTACAGAAGGTATATTAATAAGGATTTACTAGAAGTAGTAAAGAAAAACAAAAATAGGCTGAACGAAGAAATAGAAGCAAAATTTGCATCTTTAGAAAAAGAGGAAGAAATCTGCGAAGAAAAAGAAAGGCTTCTGCAGGAAATGGCGAATAATGAAGACCCCCTCTCTTCTGAAGACAGCACCCAAGTAAAAGAAGCCTGGGAGAAAGCGTTGCAGGAATGCAAAGTGCTTATCAAAAATTTAAGACATGAAATATACTTGCTGCAGTGTGCTATAAACAAAGAAAATCTGGAACATACAAGCATTTTAAAACTTCTAGATAACATACCCTATGCGACATCGCCCTATTTCAGCCCTACGCAAGAAGAGTACATGTTTGAAAAGATAAACGAGTTTGGAAGTGCGCTGAACATAAAAGTGGTAACGAGCGAAGCATCTGAAGTTTCTGAGGTAGAAGTGCCAGAAGAAACACAGGAAGAGAATGCAGCAGCAAAAGAAAAGAACGCAGCAGAGGAAGTATCTGAAGAAGAGCACCAGGTTCTAGAAGTAGATAATGGGTCTAAGAAAGGGAAATTCTTCTCTCCAAGAAACATGAAAGCAGAACTGGTTAAGTTTCTGCTCTTCGCTGCTTTTGCTATAGCAGCACCAGTTCTATTCCTCAGCTACTATCCAAAGAACGAAGCACCGAATGCTGCTGAAACCGATGAGTGCGCTGACTTAGCGTGCCATAATCAGAAGCTACTCAAGAAACATGAAGAAATTTAATATATCTTGCGCTGTCTGGCTGTAGCCAGTTGGCATCCGAAATAAATTATTCTTAGTTTATGAATTCTACTACTATAGCTATTTTGTTAAATGTTTTTTCTCTGGAGCTATAAATGAATATTGGATGTTTATTGAAAGCCGAGCTTTTTATGAAGCTGCACAGTGCTTTAATTAGTTCTCGTATGTACTAATGAGCATGCCCAAACTTGCTAAACTGCAACGCAGTCTGCATAGAGTTATATTGGCATTTCATAAAGCCAAAACTGGACTCATTGGGGATACATCTTAAAAAGGAAATGTTTTATGCAGGAGTGAAAGCAACAATTAATTTCTGGCTGCTATGTGTCAATTGCTTCATTTCATTAGACATAGATAGACTTCACTAGATAATTGGCCTCAGCTGTTAATTCATGTGATTAGTCTACTCGCTGGTTGAGAAATATGCTAGAATAGAAAGAAAGAATTTCTAGCAAACAAGAGTGCTAATTTTCTCCATAGAGAGTCTGGGCCAAACTAATTAAAATTTTTCTACCTCGGCGATTCTTGATTTTAAATTATTTTTTGCAATTAAAACTTTTACAATGACCATAAGGGAAGTTAAATTAAAGATAAATGTGGACGAAATATTAAGAGCGTGCCGATTTGATAACAGTACTGACAGTATAAATCCATTCATTGCCAATAGTGATAGATTAGGTTTTCTAATTACACTAAAGAACGTATTTAGTAAGAACATAGAAATAGAAGACGTCCAGCCGGATGGTAAAGAAGACGATCAGTACAGCAGAGCAGAAAAGAAGCACATTCTAGATGCAGTTAAAAATAACATATATAGGTACTTTATATACGAGAATTACAAAGCAGAGATTATGAACAATTTATACATAGCAATAAAGGCCAGAAACAATGAATCCATTCGAAATAAGTGCATTCGCATGCTTAATGAGCTCATCAAGCCAAACCCATCTATATACAATCCAAAGCATGGAATTTGCAGAAAGATCGACGCAAATGAGCCGCTAGAGACTATACCTCTAGACAACGAGACCTCTAGTGTAGGAAGTAGAACATGTGCACTGGAGATTGACGACACCAAGTTTTCGAGCTTAGAAAGCTTACTTCAGTCTACTTCAGAAAGCTTGGACAGAGAATTTTTCTTTTATATTTATAACTCAAATGAGTCTGCAAATATGATTGCTTTAAAAAGCTACTCAACCATAAAAGAATACTACACTCTTGACGAGTTGTATACAAAAACCTGCAAAGGCAGTGATGTGCTGTTGATAGACTACGGATTAAACCTTGTTCGCGAGAGGTATCTTGAAATCGATGGCCTAATCAAGACAATCAAGGAGATAGAAGGCATTTCTAAAGATTCGCAGAAAATATCTGAAAAAATTAACGAGGTGTTTAGCTCTGAGGAGCTGAAAGTAGTTATTTCTATTAATGATAATCTAACGAGAATCGCTCGTGAAAAAGATTTAGAAAACTGCATACTCAAAGCAATAGAGTACATGGCGAATGGTACTAGCCTCTTGAAAGGGATAATCGGGAAAAAGACTCTGGCGATAGACGCAGATCTAAGAAACTTTAGCGGAGACTACATAACTGGCAGAAGTGGCTTAAAAAGAATACTGAGCGAAAAGAAAAGAGCTGAGCTAAACAGAAAAATAGTAGTGAAAGAAGAGGAGAAAGAAGAGATAGAAAAATCAGGGCAGTCTGGCAGTGCTATAGCAAATGAAATACACTCGTTGAAGTACAGACTGCAAAATTCAAACATGCAACTTGATAACATATATGTGCTCTTAGACAGCTTAAACTACTTTTCTGGAACAAGTTTGGCTCAAAAAAACTACTTGTTCAAAAAGATAGAAGTTCTTTGCAAGGAGCATGGCGTAGAAATAGTAGAGCCATGGAGGCTCTTCTCGATAAGATTCACCCAGAAAAACGTAGTTAAAATGCTTGTACTAGCTGTTATTTTTGTAGCAGCATCTGGACTATTTGCTATTTTTGCAAAGGAAAGAATGAGGCTTTCTAATGTTAAACAGCTATTCAGCTATGAATAAGTGGCACAGCATGCAATACAGTAGTAACTTAAGAAATACGCATCTATCTAAGCTATCTGAGCTGTCTGACTTTATCTATTTACTGTCTAAAATAAACTATATTCTGTTTATGAATACTTTTCTTGAGCTATAAATAGTGCACTGACTGTTCTTCTCTTATGTTTTTATGGTTCATTTTAACTGAGTTATTTCTTTTTTATCTCATCTTTACAGTGTTTTGTCTGTCCTTGTTTGTTTATAACTTTATACTTTCTTTTAAAAAACTGCTACTAGAATAAAAATTAAAATAAAAAAGTAAAGCTCTACCTATAGTGTACACTTCGCATTTAGTATTTATTTTCTTTTTTATTTCAAAGAAATGGCATTCTTTATTGCATAAATAGCACGTGAATTACTTACAGTCTTTTCATCTACTCTTTTTTTGGTTATACCATGAGATTAAAACGTCGAGAATCTCGTTGTGTGTGCCTAGGTTGGACTTGCTATCATTCACATTGCGGAACACTATAACCTCTGCATACTCATCTGGCTTCTCAGACACTGCTTCGCGCAGCTCTTTGTGTAGGATTTCTAGGTTTTTGCTATCTTTGCTCTTTTGGCAGCTTTCTCTGTTTGTCATACTTTTTCCTCCTCCTGTGCTGCTGTCTTTTTTACCCTTCCATACTAAAAAATTTGATCTCTTTTCTTTTTTCCTTGCAATCTTCTTTTCTATTATCCTTATCTTCTTTTTGAGAATGTTTATCCTATGCAGGCCCGCCTTAAAAGTATGGTTCTTCTCTTGATGGCTCACTATCCATGTATGTACAGTCTCTGTCTGAGCCGCAGACTGCATGTCTAGCGCATTGCTATTTCTAAGCCAAAAGCCCTGCAGCTCGCTGTCCTTGTTGTACTCTCTTGACTCGAGTGTATTAATAAAATCACCCAGTTTCTCTGGGTCTTCTTCCTCTTTAAAGCTTTTATCTAGTAGAAAGTTTGTGTACTCATCCACACTGCTCTGCATTCTCACATGCCACACAGCTTTAATTATGTTATTTTCTTTTTTAGTGGTTTTGCAGTCCATCAAGTAGCATCCAGCGCTTTTTTTCTTTTCTTTATCTGGCAGTATGTACAGATTGCTGTAGTACTTGTGTATGTCTGAGTATTCATTAGTTGCATAGCCACTGCTGTACTTGTACGCACTGGGCTTTTTATCTACAAAATCTATCGACTCTATCTCTTGATGCTCTCCTTTTTTTTCAAAAGGCCCAAACTCCACAGCAGACTGCATCAGAGGCGCAAGAAAGAGCGGTATGTGGATGTTTTTGCTGCTGATTTGGGTCTTTAGAGGCTTGAAGTATGCAAATGTAAACTTTGCTTTTTCTAGGTCTTCTTCAATGTAGTAGAACACCACTTCATATCCAGCCAGATCTTTCACTCTCAGACTTCTGTCTTTTTTCTTGACGTATGTCCACTCTTTAGTCCCTTTCTTTACTTTAAACGGATGCACATGGTCTAGGTTTATCTTTATCTTATATAGACTCTTAATATGCGCTACTATCTCATCAACTGTGTGCAGGTAGTGTTTCTGTCCCTTTTTATCCACGTAGATGGGCATGCACAGCGTTTTAAGCTGGTGCGTTGTATTGTCTACATAGTACACATGGTAGTGTGGGCTTATATCAGATGAAACCGTCCATCTGTTCTCTATTTCTGTGTATGCAGGAGTTGCAAGGCCCTTGCGCGAAACATCTTGGGATATATCTACTAGCTTCTCGCACTTCATGTACTTCTGGCCTGTTATTATGCACTTCCCCACGAGAATATATTGGTTTTGTTTGTCAAAAACTGCTGCTTCTTCGTAGAACTTTACAAGGATTGTGTACAGGTCTTTATACAGCTCAGCCGCTGTCCTTTCTTCCATTGGCTTTTTTTCTTTTTCGTATTCTTCTTCAAGACAGCTGTATATCTCTTCGTATAGTTTGTAGTTTGTCTCTTTTTTTATATTTAAGTGCACTATTCTTTTTATCCTCAATAGAACTTTTTGGTAGTTTGAGTTTACATCCCGATTTTCTGAGACTTTAGTCCATCTTATGAACAGATCAGTGATGCCGGAGAAGTCCTGGTACACCTCAGGCAGCACAAGAACCATGTGCACAGCCTGTGCCAGGGGATGGTACTTTTTGTCCATCTGCTCAATGCTGTTCAAATCCTCTAGCATAGAGTATTTTAGCGTAAGAGGCTTTCGCATGTAGACATCTCCCAGTGTTTCTTTCCACGCAGTTTCAAAGTCGTCTTTTTTAACCATCAGCGGCTGGTGCTTTTCTATGTATGCTATCATGTCGTCAAATATGGCGGGATAGTACCCTTGGATGCCTTCCAGTATTTCTCGGTGCTTATTCTCTCCGTATCTGAAGAACTCTTGAAGCCCCAAAAGATCTTTGTACTTTGTGTATATGTGTGTGGACTTGCTTGAAATGAAGTGCCACATTGGATTAATTTTTATTAGAGGAGCAACGTTTGCAGCAAAGTCCTCAATGCTCCTTCTGACATTTTCTTTGTATCCCCTTGTCTTTATGATATTCTTTATGTAGTTGTCAAGATGGTAGTGCATAAAAACCGTTTTGTGGTTTATTCGATGGGACTTTCTTCTTCTATTTTCCAGCCGCTGGCTCATGACGTTCCATAGATTGATGTTAAATTCATTTATATCCTTCTTTTCTCCACTTTTTTCTGCGGACTGCTCTGCCTGATCATCCTGGGCTGGCTGTTCACTGTCTTCTGGCATAATGCAAATCTCGCTTTGGTGAGAGACATTATCAGGTATGCTTTCTAGCGAGCTGTCTCTCTTTTGTCTTTTTTTCTCTGGTGTGAACTGGTCTGTGCAGCTATTCGCTGGACTTCCCATTTCGCTCTCTTTTCTTTTTTCTCCCATTGATAGCCTGTTGGTTTCAGTAAGATAATTGGACGTGTGCTTAATCACACTGGGTCTTTCATTGCACTGCACAGGTGCACTGCACTGATTCGATATTCTGCCTACGATATTGGCATAGCTTTTATTGCAGACTACAATGGTATTATCTATCATCGGTGCAGGATAACTGTGGCCTAGATATTCTATATCACTGCTTTCGCTGTCCTTTCTTCTAGAGGGCCCCGCCTGGGTCCACTCTTGCTCGTTGAAATCACTGCTGCTTCTACTGCATCCTGCAATAAAAAGAGCAAACACCACGGTACCTGTCAATATTTTCTTCGGATTCTGTTTTTTCATGCACCTAAAAAATTATTTTTTGCTACTTAAGAGATGCATTAAAACTAGCATCCTTGACCATGTATATTATTCTCATACACTTCCAATATAAATGACAAGTGATAAGACCCTAAAACTTTGTGCTACAAAGTTAAAATAGCTGATCTAGCACAAAAGAATAACACCAACAACAAATAGATATAAAAAGTGGGCACACAGTACCGCTATAACTAAAATACAGATAAATACAATGGGAGTGCTAAAAGGACAAGAGAAAGAAACAGAGATAAGCATCTTTTGTTAATCTTAAGTTTATCTAAAGAGCATCAACATATGGCTGCTGTCTGTAGCAAAACATCACATTTATGCTTAGCACACTTACTCTGTCTCTTCTACTACTACTGTATTGCCACTAGAACTACTAGTATATCCTAAGAGCTATGTTTGCAAGTTTTAAATAGCATTTATTTATTGCTTGTTATTTTGGCTTTAGAGTGGTGTAGTTGTAGCACGAAATCAGAAAGTCAAGAATTTCATTGTGTGCTCCCAAATTGGACTTGCTGCCGTTTCTATTTCGAAACACCATAAAATCTGTTTGTGTGTTTGGCTTTTTAGATAGTTTTATAGACAGCACTTTACACAGCTTTTCTATTTTGATTTTTGTTTTATATTTTGCAGCAGATATTTTATTCCTCTCTCTTAAGCTTGATGTATTCTCATCCTTGCTTCCTAATCTATGCTGCTCCCGCTCTTTTTTCTCAAAAAACTGTCTTTCCTTCTTTAATTTTAGCTCGATCTCTTTTATACTGTACAGAGTTAAATACTTACTGTAATTGCTGGTTTTCACCATCCAATTGTATATCTTCTGCATTGAGTCTGTGGGCTCGCTGTCTTCACTATTATTACTTATCCAGAGCCCCTCGAGCTCGCAGCCTTGGTTGTGCTCTCTTGATTCTACTGTTTTTATAAAATCGTTAAAGCTTTTCAAGTGTCTTTTTTCTTTGAAGCTTTTGTCCAATATGCAACACGTGTACTCGTTCACGCTGCTTATTTTTCTCACATACCACACAGCCTCAACTATATTGCCTCCATTGTCAGCCACCTTGCAGTCCATCGAATAGCACTCTACGCTTTTTATTTTCTCCACGAGTATGCATAGATTACTGTAGTAGTTTTGCACGTCCGAGTACTTCTTTATATTGTACTTTTTGTTGTATTTGTACGCATCAGGAAGTCTATCCTCTAGCAGTATCGAGTCTATCTCTTTATGCTCTCCTAGCATGGAAAAAGGGCCTAGCTCCATGGCAGATCGCATTAGAGGCGTAAGGAACAGAGGTATGCAAATAGTATATTCATTGTCAGAGTATGAAGACCTGAACTCTGCAAAGGTAAACTTTGCTGTTCCTAGATTTTCATCTATGCGATAGAACACCACTTCGTACCCTTTTAGGTCTTTCACTGTCTGTGTTCTGTCTTTTTTCCTAATGTATGTCCACTTTGTGCTCAGCCTATTCACTTTAAACGGGTGTATAATGTCTAAATTGTTCTCTATGTCATACAACTTTTTTATATACTCTACTATGTCGCTAATTGTGTGCAAATAGTGTTCATTTCCGCCTTTATCCACATGCATAGGCATACACAGCATCCTGGCCTTGCCAGCTGTGTTGTCTACATAGTGTATGTGATAGTGTTTCTTTATATCAGGTAAGACACTCCATCTGTTCACTTCCAACGAATAGTTCAAATCTAAGACTTTTTCTTTTATATCTTTCGGTGCTATGTCTGCTGTTATCTCGCACTTCATGTACTTGTGGTTTGTTATCATGCACTTTCCCACCAGAACATACATATCTTCATTGTTAGCCGCTTCTGCGCTCTCATAGAACCTTCCAATAATTGTGTATACTTCTCTATACAGATCAACTATTGTTGGCTTCAGTAGCCCTTTCTCTGCACATATCTCTTCAAGGGCGCTATAGATCTCTTTATACACGCCATCACTATCGTCTACTTCAGTTTCATCTATTTTTTTAGCAATCATCTCCGCTAGCTTGTGTATGGATACTAGAACTTGTTGGTCTTTCTTGTTTCTGGAGAGATTTTTAGAGGTTTGGGTCTCTCTTATGAAATTTTCAGTGATGCTGGAGAAGTCTTGGTACACTTCAGGCAGTGTTAGAATCATGTACACAGCGTATGCCACTGGATGATATTTTTCGTCTAGTTTTTCAATTTTTTCTTGGTCTTTCATCATACTATGGTTTATCTGCAGAGCCTCCCGTACATAAATATCCCCCAATGTCTCCTTCCACACAGTTGGGGGAGTGTCTCTGTTGATTCTTATCGGCTGGTGGATGTCTATGTAATCGATTATATCTTCAAACACGCCCGGGTAGTATCCTTTAAAGCCCATCATTATTTTCTTATACTTCTCTGCCCTTTCGTCATCAAACATCTCCTGCAGCTGCAAAATAGCCTGGTACTTTGTGCTTATATTCGTACTTGTATTCGCAATGAAGTACCACAGAGCATTCTGCTCTAGTTCTGGTGCGATGTCTTTGGAGAAGCTTTCTATAGCTTTCTTGTTCTTTTCTTGGTAAGAGTCTTCTCCTGCGTTTTGAGTATACGGCCTGGTATATGGGCCAAGCTTATATACTGTTTGGTGTTTTGTCCTATAGCCTTTTCTCCTCTTATTCGTCAACCTTCTATCGCTCCATACTTGATTTCTTCTTCTGTTTGCATCCTCTTTTTTCTCTTTTTCAAGCTCTGGTGTTATGTATTTTATAGCTGGTTTTTCTTTGTTTTTCTTTTTTCTTTCATCTTGTTGTGCGCTAGAAACAGTTTTACCGGGCACATCTTCCAATCTTTTTTTTTCCTTTTTACTATTTAGTGCAGACCAAGAATCGCATGTGTCTATGGGACTATCCGTCTCGTATATTTTTCTTTTTTTCCCTACAGTCATTATGATACTGCTCCTTTTTTCTCTAGACACATTCTCTCCTGGGCTAGAATATTCTTCTGTTCTCTGCTGTTTCTCTAAAGATGCAGAATCATTTTGAGAGATACTGTGTGCGTGCAGAGCAGCAGAAGAGATGGCTGCATTATCCACTCTACCCACTTCCCTCGATGTCCCAGCCATGCTATGTACTGGATTAAAGGGGTAGCCAAGCAGACTAGACCCTGGTATAAATGGATTTGGCTGGATATGCTGTTGTCCTACCGGATTGGCTGGGTTAAAGCCTTGTCCACTGTATCCAGCATAGGCTAAACTGTCTGTAGGAGCTTGTATGACTGAGGAAAGATTTATTCCAGAGACATTGTATAACGGCATATTTTGACCTATTGAGCTCCCAGGGATGTTGTATATTGGATTGGAGATAGCTCCATATATGCCAGGGCCTGCTAAGTACTGCCCAGCTACACTGTTTAGTCCATTATTCAAATATAGCGCATTCAAAAGGGGGTTGTAGGGAGGCAAAATGAAAGAAGAGTATGCACCTGGTATTGCATTTGCCGCAATATTTAGGCCTATGTAGGGATGCACACTACCATTTAAGTTTCCGTTAAATGGATTTTCACTTCCTCTGCACGCCATAATAAAGAAAATCAGCGCTACACCCGATGCACCTGGTATTTTCTTTAGGTTCTGCTTTTTCATGCTAAAAATATCATTTTTTTATTTTAATGTTCGGCTGCAATCTTACTCTTATTTTATTTTTCTTAGTAAGTTTATTGGACTTGTGGTGATTCAATGAAGGAACTACAGCATACCTAATATAAAAGTCAATGAGGGAATTGGTCTCAAGATAATGTGGTGATTTATTGGTTGCAGGCTTGCGACTGCCAGTCGTAGGATGTTTACTGTGCGTCTTGGTGACTTTTTTCAATGTGTCTACAGTCTGGTTATCCTTGCCTTCTTTTGTTTCTGAATGTGTCGTATTCATGCTCGCGCTATCTAAAAAATATATTTATAGCTGTTTTTGTGATGATTGTAGATTTGGCATATGACTTATAGATTAATTTACGACAAGAATATTTGCGAAAATAGCTATATTAGTGCTCTCTTTGTGGTTTTTCGCGCATAAAATAAAATTTAAAACTTTCCAATCTAGGCAGTTCCTGATTCTTAATTATTTTTGCATTTAAAATTTTTAGGATGGCTGTAAGGGAAGTCAAATTCAAAATAGATGTGAAGGGAATAGTAGAAGCCTGTCTATCTTTTGGCGATAAGTACGAAATAGATGAGTATATTGAAGACTATGATAAAGTGAGGCATTTAGACTTTCTAAAAGAAATATTTAATGAGAACCTAGAGATCGAAAGCGCCCACTATAGTAATGAAGAAAGCGGGGATATTTTAAACATAATTAAAAATAATATGTATCTGTATTTTATATACACTAATATACCGATAGAAGAAAGTTTGAGAAACCTATATAGCGCACTAAAGAGTAGAGACAAGGACTTAATTACACGTAAGGCTGTCAATGTAATTAAGAAAATTATAGGCCTAAATCTCTATATATACAATCCAGACCATGGGATAAATAAAAAGATTGACATGTATAGAGAACAAGAGACCATAGGTTTGGTTAATAAAAACTATGACCTGAGCCCTAGAGAATACACACTGGAGATTGATGATACAAATCTTCCTAGTCTGAAAAGTATATCCCAGAGCACTTCAGAGGGTTTAGACAGAGAGAAGTTTATTTATATCTCTGATAAAATAAAGGATATAATAGACATGGAAATTTTAAAAAAATACTCACCCATAGAAACATATCACAGCTTGGATGATTTATACACTCTAAAAAAAGACGGCGTACTGTTAGTAGACTACGGGCTGGAGCTTATTCATGAAAAATATCATGAAATTAAAGATCTATTCCAGACAATTAAACAGATCAAACTCATTTCTAAAAGCCAAAAAGACATAATTGAACATATCAGCGATGTGTTTACCCCTGAAAACTTAAAAATAGTCATTTCTATCTGTGATAATGCAGAGGAAATTATGAGAGAAAAAAAAATACATGGCTACGTGATTAACGCACTGGAATATATGATGAGTAAAACTGACTTCTTAAAAGAAACAGATAGTTCGGAAAACACTCTGAAGATAAAACCTGATTTGAGTAATTTTCGTGAAGACTATTTATCTAATAAGAATAATTTGAAAAAACTAGTAAATGAAAGAATAAATAGATTACCTGAAGAATATAGAGAAATATGTGATTCTCCCACGATAAAAACAGAAGAAAATGCTTCTAATTATATGCAGAATAGCAAAGAACTACTACAATGGAAACTAGATAAAGAAGATAGACAACATGGCAACTGTGTTTTACTTTTAATTAGCTTAGGCGGTTTATCTAGTATAAGCCCAATCCAGAAACAATACCTACTCAGAAAGCTAAAAGAGTTTGGAGAAATATGGAACATAAAAGTAATAATTGACAGAGAAGAAGCGATAGAAGAAGTAATAGAAGAAGAAAAGAAAGCTGTAGAAGTACCTACAGAAAAACAACCACGCCAAGCAAACAGAATTAAAATACTCATGGTTTCTGCTATTGTTCTTGCAGCAGTAACATTCTTGTTCCTTGCACATTCGAGGGGTGCAGTGAAACTTGTTAGTGCTAACTACTGATTGAATTATTATGGATACTCACAAATCTATGTTTCAAGAAACACTTAAAGGCTGAGCGGTCTTAATCTATCCTATCCTAATCGATTATTATCTAGAATAAATTCTGCTTAGCTCTACATATGCTTATTTATACCTCTTCTACCTACAGTATCTCCAGACTTGTAATCTGCAATGGAGAAATGTGCTCATATTACTTTACTCTTTATGCCATTCTACTCTTTCTCTTCTTTCTTTATGTCTACTTTTTTCTTTTCTTTTGGAAGTATAAAATAAAAGAGATGGAGCAAACCTCTACCATGTACACATTTTTATTCTCAAATAATATTTTATTTTTCAATTCTTCTATACTAGCCAATCTACCACCACCATAGAACAAAAGAGGTGCAATGAGACTGCAATAATTTATAAACCTACTATTTACTAACCGGTATTCCTCTTTCTATATCTGTACACTGTAATGAAAATGTCAAAGATCTCGTTATGTACGCCTAGATTGGACTTGCTGTGGTTTGCATTGCGGAATACCATGAGCTCAGTGCTGGAGTCAGGCCTTTTAGAGAGAGCTATGTACAGCTCCTTGTTTAGATCTTTCAGTCTTTTGGCTGTTTTGCTTTTTGTAGAGTTTACGGTCCGCTTTTGTCTTATTGACTTCTTTGTATCTGTTTTTATGTTGATTTTCCCTATTCTCTTCTTCTCTTCTTCTATCTCTCTTAGTTTTTCTTTTCCTCTGAACATTTCTAGTTTGATTTTCTCCAAGATCTCTTCATTTGCAGACACCTTATAACAGCTGCTGTTCGGCAGTAGGTTAAATATTACCTGAGTCTGTTCTGCTGTCTCGCTATTTAGTGCATGGCTGTTGCTCAGCCTGAATCCCTGCAGCTCGCTGTCTTTATTATACTCTCTTGACTCTACTGTTTCAATAAGCTCATCAAATGCCTCTGAGCTTCCTTCTTTAGAAAACTCCTTTCCCAGCACACAGTGTGTATACTCATCCACACTACTTGGCATCCTTGTGTACCACACAGCCTCAACTATGCTATTTTCTTTTTTGGTTGGCTTACACTCTAAGTCCATCATGTAGCAGTCCACACTTCTTTTTTCTTCTTTATCAAATTGTATGTACAGGTTGCTGTAGTATTTGTAAAAGTCTGAATACTTTTTTTCCTTGTACTTATAGTCATATACGTATATATCGGGCACTGTATCTTTAACTTCTACTGGGCTTAGCTCTTTGTGTTCATTTTCCATCCTAATAAAAGGGCCAAGGTCTACTGCGCGTCTCATCAGAGGCGTAAGGAAGAGTGGTATCCAAATGTCGCCGTCCTTGTAAGACCGCAGAGGCCTAAACTTTGCAAATGTAAATCTTTTTTCTGCGGGGTCTTCATCAATGCGGTAGAACACTACTTCATGTCCTTCTAGCTCTTCTACTTTTTTATTTCTGTCTTTTTCTTTGATGTATGTCCACTTTTTACTCCTTTTATTCATCTTAAACGGGTGTATAACGTCAGCCTCTTCCTTCACTTCATACAGCACTTTTATATGGTTTATTATGTCGATGATTGTGTGGATATAGCGATCTTTTCCAGCGCTGTCTACGTATATGGGCATGCACAGCCTTCTGAGCTGGCTGGTTGCATTGTTCACGTACAGCACGTGGTAGTGCTTGTGTATCTTGGGCGAAATATCCCATTTGTTCTTCTCCAGTGAATACCCGAGACTCAGAACTCTTTTGTCTGTGTCTTCTGTTCCCAAATCCACCTTTATCTCGCACTTCATGTACTTCTGGTTCTTTATTATGCACTTCCCAACCAGATTGTACTCTTTTTTCTTGTCCATTCCTCCTGCATTTTCGTAGAATCTGGCAAGAAGAGTGTAAATGCCTCTGTACAGATCAGTCACTGCCACTTTAGGAAATGTGTCTTTTTCATACACGTCTTCAAGAGCTGTGTATAGCTCCTTGTACACTCCAGCGTTTATTTTTTCCTCCGCGTGCATGTGAACCAGCTCTTGTATTTTCAACAGAATTTGGCAGTTTTGTTTTTTCCTTGCTAGGTCTTTTGAAGTTTTGGTGTTTTTTATAAACTCTGGGCTGATGTTAAGAAAGTCTTTGTACACCTCAGGAAGCACTAGAACCATACGCACAGCACAGGCAACAGTGCGGTACTTCTTGTCTATCCCTCCAGCCTGGGAGCTTTCTTCTGGGCTGTAGTGGTTTAAATCGAGATCTTCTCGTATATAAATGTCGCCCAGATTTTCATTCCACTCAACCGAGCAGGGTAGATTGTTCGTTCGTGTGGGTCTATACTTGTCTATGTATGCTATCATATCACCAATTATCCCGGGATAGTATCCTTCCAAGCTCTTTACCATTTTTGCGCATTCGTCTTCATTGTCTTTGAGTATCTCTTGGAGGCCTAGAAGATCCTTGTATTTTGTGTTTATGGTTGTGCATCTGCTTGCAATGAAGTAGCACAGAGCACTCTGCTGTATCAGAGGAGCAGTTCTTGTGAAAAAGTCTTTAATGTCCTCTCTAAACTGTATTTGGTACGAGTCCAGCCTTACTTCGTCTCGCATGCTTTTGTTGGACATGTCGTATCTGTATATTGTTTTAGTGTTTAGTTTCTCTTTTTTTCTTCCCGAGTTGTACAATCTTTTTTCGTTCCACAGACTGATGTCAAGATCAATTGTTTTTCGTTGATCTTCTGCTGTTTCATCTGCTTTTTCAGACAGTGAGACTTCTCGACCTTTCTGAGCCACTCGTTTGCCACTCTTTTTGATGATTTCAATCTCTTCTTCCTCAGAATTGGACATAATAGACACTTCCATCGATGTATCTTCTTCACTTCTCTGTTTTTTATGGAGCGGAGATCGGTCATCAGCATAGAAGTCCATTGGATTCTCTCTTCCTCCTGCTCTGTCTGCTTCATTTATCTTTCTTTTTTTTTCTTCAGAGAAAGGCTCTTTACCTCTGCGCGCATCCATCTGGTTTAAAGCACTTCCTGCCACACTCATCTCTGCCGCGCCTTGCTGATATTGGACACGCGGATCTATTTTTCTGTTTGAAAGGTGCAGAGAGCGGATTTTCTCTATAGGGGAAATGCTCAAGGGAAAGCTACTAGATGAAAAATACAACCCATCTATTTTGGATGCCACTCTATTCCCGTCTATGTATAGACCAGCACTTCTGTCAAGCACTTCCTGATCAAAAGCATTTCCGCTGCCTCGGCATCTTATGACACATAGAGCAAGAATTGCACCTGCATTCAGTAATTTCTCCAGTTTATGATTTTTCATGCAAAAAAATCATTTTTTCTGGTTATAGTTTTTTAGTTAAGGAAAGCTCTTTTATTTTTCTGCACTGCAAATGGCTTAGTCTAGCCTTTTTTCTATGGGCAGTTTCATACAATCTATTTTCGTGGAATAACTGCCAATAATTACAAAACTAGACTCGGTTTAGACAGTATGCATTACTGATGCAGAACTGTAGTGTATTTACCATACAAAAAGACCCAGTTGCTCAAAAATTATTTATACTCACTGTTTAACAATGGACGGATTTACTAAATGATAAAAAACATATAAGAATAACGTAAACATTTGCTATTTATTCTTTGGCATCAAGGTTTAGTCTTTCCGTTCTGTACCACGAAATAAAAATATCAAGAATCTCGTTATGCACGCCTATGTTGGACTTACTGCTGTTCACGTTGCGGAACACTATGAAGTCTGCCTGCGGCTCTGGTCTCTTAGAAAGCTTTGTATATAGCTGGTCGTATAGATCATCGAGATTTTTCTTTATGAAGCTTTTTTTGGCCTTTTCTGCCTTTTTTTGCAGCTTAGCTTCTTCTTTTTTAATCTCGGATATAATCTTTTCTAGGCTTGTTGTCTTAGCTGCAGAGCGGTGATAGAATTTGGTGCTTGGCAGTATGTTAAATATTGCCGGTGTTTCGGGTGCTAACGGGCTATCTGCTTTATAGCTATTAGACAGCCAGAAACCCTGCAGTGTGCTGTCTTTGTTGTACTCCCTGGACTCTAGGACTTCAACAAGCTCATTGAACTTTTCTGAATTTTCTTTTTCTCTGAAGCTCTCACTTAGTATACAGTGCGTGTACTCATTCACACTGCTGGGCATTTTCACATACCACTCTGCCTCAACTGTATTGTCCTCTTTTTTAGCGCATTTGCAGTCCATGATGTAGCAGTCAAAACCTTTTCTCTCTTTTTCTGGGATGTACAGATTTTTGTAGTAGTTCTGCACATCTGTATATTCCATGCCTTTGTAGTTGCTGTTGTACTTGTATATGCTGGGTTTTCTGTCTATAAACCCTGCTGGATTTAGCACGGTATGGCTCCCCATCGTATCATAGGGCCCTAGGTCTGCAGCTGATAGCATCAAACGCTTGAAAAACAGCGGAATACGTATGCTGTTGTCATCGTAAGACTTCAAGTGTTTAAAGTCCGCAAAAGTAAACTTTTCTTTTTCTAGATCTTCATGAATGCGGTAGAACACTACCTCGTATCCTTCTAAGTCTTTCACTGTCTGCGCTCTCTCTTTCTCTTGTATGTATGTCCACCTGTTTGTTCCTTTTTTTACTTTAAACGGATGTATGATGTCCTGCTTTTCTTCTATTGTATACAGTGCTTTTATGTGGTCTACTGTATCGTTAACTGTGTGTAGGCAGTGCAGTTCTCCGCTCTTCTTATCCTTGTATAGGGGCATGCACAGCTTTCTAGGCTGGCCAGTTGTGTTGTCCACGCATAGCACGTGGTAGTGATCGCGTATATCAGGTGCGATGTCCCACTTGTTATACTCTGGCGAGTAGTTTGACCCTTTCACTCTTTTGTCTAGCTTCTCTGCGGCTTCTATCTTTGATCTTATCTGGCATTTCATGTACTTCTGGTTTGCCATTATGTATTTTCCCGCTAGAACATACTTCTTTTGTTTGTAGATGAGCTCTGCATTTTCATAGAACTCTGCAAGGATTACATAAATCTCTTTGTATAGCTCAACAGTTGTTAATTTTTCCATTTTATTTTTACCGTATAGCCTTTCAAAAATGTTGTATAGTGCACTGTATGTACTGTCACTTAGTTTCTCTTTCAAGTACACTTGCACTATTTTGAGCATTTTTAGCAGAACCTGAAGATGCTCTTCATTTTTATCTGAGTCTTTCAAAGTATAGGTGCATTGTATGAACTCTGCAGTGATGTTTGAAAAGTCCACATACACCTCCGGTATCTTTGTAACCATGCGCACTGCATACGCCAGAGCGTGGTACTTCTTGTCTATCTTATTAATTATATCGTCTTCTTTCAGGTTATAACGGTTTGGCATGAGATCTTCCCGTATGTAAATGTCTCCTAGGTTTTCGCTATCACTGCACATCGGTCTTTTGTTTTTCATGTATTCTATCAGATCATCAAATATCCCAGCGTAGTATCCTCCTAGACTCTCCAGCATTTTTCTGTGCTTATCTTTACTGCTTCTCTTGAGAATCTCTTGCAGACCAAAAAGATCTCTATACTTAGTGTTTATAGCGGTGCTCCCTCTTGCAATGAAATACCACAGTGAATTGTCGTCTATCACTGGAGCAACGTTTGTATAAAATTTTTCAATTCTCTTTTCAAGCCTCTCTTTGTACAGTTCACTTTTTGTTAATCTTTTTATATTTTCATCCGTAGAACTGTGTCCGTATTGTCTTCCAGTGTTTGTTTTATAGCCCCTTCTCCGCGAATTGTAGAATCTTCTGTCGTTCCATATTCCCACATCAGGGCGTGTTCTTTCTTCTTTATCATTTGCCGAGTCAGAGCACGACAGCTGTTCATCATGAAGTGAATCTTCATCGATGTTCTCCACATCCAGCATTTCCTCATCGATGTTCTCCACATCTATTATCTCTTCCTCCTCTTGCTGGGATGTACTGCATACTTCTATTGGCACTTCTTCTTCTTTTTTCTTTTTACTTTCTGGCATGAATTGCAGCACGGATCTGTCCATTGAGCTGCTTCTTTCATTTCCGTTTCTTTTTTCTCCTATAAATGGCCTAAACGCACTTGTGCTAGCACTAGTCAGTTCTGTGTATTGGTGTATTTCTGGCTCCTCATGGTATCCCATGGCCGCTATCTGCTCCCCAAAAGGTCTGCATCCATCTCCTGCTAATCCATATGTAAATGGACTGGCAAAGGGATAGGCTATGCCGCCTATTAACCCTGCTGTCATGCTCTCGTCTCTAGATATGTTAGGCACAGCACCGCTTATCATACCTGGCGCACTTCCACTCATACTGTGCTGATCTGGCACCACATTAATTGCACTAAAATTTTGCCCTGCATTGTAGTGCAAACCAGCCATACTTGGGCTGTAGGCTAGCGAGTTTAAATAGGCCGTAGCTGCTGCTATGTTTTCAGCTGTGTACAGAAAATTGCTATTTCCTGCTTCCTGTTTAAAGGGATCCTGGCTTCCTCTGCACCCTACGGCAAATAAGGTAAAGAAAGTAACTGTGTTCAATATTTTCATCATTTTTGCACTAAAAATATTTCTTTCTATTTATGGTTTAATAAGGAAGTTTTTTGATTTTCATGCAATGCACAGCGCTTAGTTGTTTATCCTCGGATTTCACTTTCTGTGGCTCATTTTGTGTATGCTTAGCGCTTTAGCTGTATTTAGGATCACTGTAAAATCTTTTTTCTCTTTTTTACTTTTGGCCTACTCTATATCTTTATAATCAGATAACTGTCTTTTATATGCCTAGAGAGCCCAATGCTGAAAAACCTGCGCCCATCTTCTATCCTCGCTATCTTCAAAATCATTATATATGCAAAGAAGTTGCATACTCCATCCACTTCACACTCGATACAATACCATTTTCTATGCCAACCTTTAATCTAAATCTTCTCGTAGATACTTATAGATAAATACAGTATAGCGCTGTAAATGAAGAATGTTTGAGAAAGCAGTTGCACTAGCACTTTCTTCGCTGCTTTACATCATTAAAAAAATTAAAATTTTTCCACCTTAGGAAACCTCCAGTATTCTTAAATTATTTTTTGCAATTAAAACTTTTAGAATGACTGTAAGAGAAGTTAAGTTGAGAATATACCTGCAAAAAATAGTAAACGCATATACTGCTAGGGTTGAGAAACTTTTGAGGCTGGACATCAGAAAGAACAAGAAAATGGACCAATTTATGCTCCTAAATGATATACTCAAGGAGAATGTAACAATAGAAAGCGATCATTATACTAGCAAAGAAAAGAGACTCATCTTGGGTATAATTAAGAATAGAATATACCAGTACTTTGTGTACAACGATAAGCTAGGAACTATGAACACGTTGTATCTTACTCTGAGGCCTGGGACTGCTGAGTCCATTAAATACGAGGCTGCCGATATAATTAGACACATGATGGGGCCAAACCCGCTTATATACAGCCTAGACGATGGAATGCGTATAAAGAATGAAACTTCTGAAGATGCAAGCCCAACTAATAGTAGTGCTGACATAAACACTAGAGTATATACGCTAGAGATTGACGACACGAAGTTCTCAAACTTGGAAAATATATTTCAGTCCACCACAGACAGCCTGAACAATGATAACTTCCATTGCATTTCTGATTTAGCAGAGTCAATGGGCTTGAATTTTTTAGGAAAAATCTATTCTATCCTAAACTACCACGATTTATACAAGCTATATAACACTCCACGTAGAGAAAGTGATATGCTATTTGTAGATTATGGCTTGAAGCTTATGTGTGAACACTATTATGATCTCAAATACATGGTTAAGAAAAAAAAAACTAAAATAAAGTGTATTGATAAGAATAATAAATCACTTAGTGAAGATGATTTACATTTAATCGGTTCTATCATCAAAAATATAGAAAAAATTAAACATGAAAAGAAGATACACAACTATCTGTTTAAAGTGTTAAACTATCTGGCAAAAAACACAGATGTTTTGAAAGCAAAAGACGGATCAAACACCATAAAGATAGATACTGATTTAAGCAAGTTTTATGATAACTATATAGCCAACAGCCCGCATTTTAAGAACATACTAGACGACGCTAAAGAAGATAAATTAGCTGAAAAACTGAAAAAAAAGCTTGAATTTCTCAATGTAGAGAAAAACATTGAAAAAGAAAAAGCCCTGCACAAACAGCTCAATGAAGCCAGCTCCAGCTCTTATAGCGCCCACCCAAATAAAGGGAGTGTTTTTGATGCTTTTGGCGCAAACCCCTTACAAGGAAAATCAGAGGAGTATTTAGAATGTGAGAACGTTCAGGAGCTTGTAGCTAGCTTAAAGTCACTGAGTAAACTGAGCCGAATCCAACACTATTACCTATCCAAAAAGATAAAACTGTTTGAAAAAATGCAGAACATAAGGCTAGCAGAAGAAAAGAAAATAAAAGAGGAAGAGAAGAAGAAAGAAGTCACGCTCATACAAATAGAAGAAGAAGCACAGCCCGCCTCAGCAGAGCCAACAGCTCGAAAACTCTCCGTTGGAACACTGCTGATGGGCGGTATTGCTCTTACAGGAGCAACAGTGCTGTCGCATAGCTACTATCAGCCAAAAGGCGAAGCAATGAACGCATCTGACAATAGCCATTTATATGATCTCTTGGACAGCACCCAATTAAGAAGCATGAACAATCCCAATATATCTTGAGTTATCTGGCCCTACTAGATCTACTAGATAGCATTCAAAATAAACTATTTCTGAGTTTAAATGTTCCTAGCTTATATTTTAGCAGATATGCCTCTTCTATTTCTCTACTACTGCCATTTTAATTTTACTTTTTTATCTCTTATATGTACATTTATTCTCATCTCTTCTTGAACAAACTCTATATAGACTCTGTCTTATGTCCTCTACTTGCGCTATCTTTAGATTTTATATCTACAAAGAAGAAGAGATGTATCTTGTGTCCATTATTTTCTCTACACCACTCTGTACACGTAGCTACTTATTCCCACTTTTAATTGCAATAAATTGGACTAGGCCTCTGTCTAGCTAAAATTGCAGAAAATATAGTCTACAGAAAACAGAAAAATATTTGAGAAAAAATATACTGCTTTTTTATTAGTGCATAAATTAAAAACAAATAACTCTTTAATTCTGTGCAAACTCCTGGCTCTTAAATTATTTCTGCAACTTAAAACTTTTTGAATGGTGGCAAAAAAGGTTAAATTAAACATAGATGTGGGTGGTGTAGTGCAAACCTGTCTGTCTATTAGCAGTGTGGATGATATGTGTGCGCCTATCTACCTGAGCAATAGAATGAGCTATATGACCATACTAAAGCACATACTCAATAGGAGCCTAAAAATAGAAAGTGATCAATATAATGCCAGAGAAAAGGAAAGTGTCTTAAATATAATCAAGAATGGCATATGCCAATACTTTATATACAATAGGATCGTAGCACAAATCATAAATAGAATGCATAGTGCGCTGCAGAACAGAGACGACGCCACAATCAGACACAACGCTATCTGTCTAGTTAATGAGCTTATAAAACCAAATAGATTTGTGTACAACACAGAGCACGGGATGGCCCGAGAGATAGACATGAATAGCCTGTTGGAAAATATAGATCCAGACGATAGTAATGCTGATCTAAGCCCTAGGGCATACACTCTAGAGGTTAACGATGAAAGCTTGGAACGCATGCTGCAGTCCACCGCAAAGAGTCTAGATAGGCACATTCTGAGCTACATATCCAACTCAGTGCATCTAAAGTGCATAGAAAAATTAAAAAAATACTCATCTGTAGAAGAGTTCTATACTTTGGACGATCTCTACACTCTGACAAAAGATGGTGCGCCACTGGTAGACTATGGGCTGAGGCTTATTCAGGAGAAGTATTACAAGATTGTGGACTTAGTTGATCTAATTAGAGGAATAGAGGTCATTTCCAACAAGCCACAGAACCTGATTAAAAAAGAAGTTAGTGAGTTGTTTACTGCTGAAGATCTGAGGATAGCTATTTCTATCAGCGACCATCTAGAAAAAATTTCATATGAAAAGAAAATACACAAATGCGTGATTAAATCACTAGAATACCTGGCAAACAGCACAGATCTCTTGGATGAGAAAGATGGCTCGAAAGTACTGAAGATAAAGCCGGATCTAAGTGATTTTTATGGAAACTATGTGTTTAACAAAGGCTTGAATGAAATAGTGTATGAAAAAGAAGTCGAGCTGTCTGATGAAATAATAAAAGCCCGTGCATCCCTTAGCACAGAAAAAATAAACTGCGCAGAAAAAGAAGCAGATCTGCAGGAATGGGAAAACACTGCTGACCACAGCTCTCCAGACTATAGCCAAATAAGAAGAGAAAAGGCAGAAGCAGTAGAAGTCGCAAGACGTAGAGCTAACTGTCTGGAAAATAAGATATATTTGCTATCGTGTGACAACAAAAAAGAAGAGCTGCAGAATGACAGCAATTTTGAGCTTCTAATCAGCTTGAACAACCTATCTGACATAAGCCCCGCCCAGAAACAGTACATTCTCGAAAGGATAGAAGAATTCAGTGAGGCACATAGTGTAAAGGTAGAAGTAGCAAAAGAAATAAAACCTTTCTCAATAAAAATCACCAGAGAAAAACTCATTAAAATGCTTATATTAGGTGTTATTTGTACAGCAGCATTGGTGCTATTTACTGCACAGTCAAAGGATAGAGCATTGGCTATAAACAATTTTAAATAAATGTAGCCCATGCATAAAAGCACACAAGAAATAAATTTAAAAAGAGTCTTGACCGTAATGAGATTTTCAGCCCTTTATTTGATCTTTCTAGAAGTGGGAAAGACCTTCCATTCTTCTCTTCTTTCTGATTCCTCTCTAGCAGAAATTGTTCAGCATGGGCTATCCATGTTTCTTTGCTCAAGCATAATATCTTATTCCATATTAGCTAGCAAATCATTTTTATTTTAAAAAATGTATGCATAGCTTATACAAGATACTCTTGTTTTGCAAAATAAGAAATCAGCTGATAAATAAATGCTAGATGTAACTTAAGATAAAACATTTATTCTTAGCTATTCTCGGGGATAGTTTGCAATAAAGGTTAGGGTGGTCACAAGAAGCACTGCAAAAAGTGAAACTAAACTTTTATAGTCTTTTTTTGGCTTTTGAGCTTCTGCTTCTGGCGCATTTTCTTTGTTTGCATCCTCTTCAGCTTTCTCCCTCTCTTTTCTATCTTTCATTGCTATATAGTAGGTTGTTGCTGTTATAATAGCTGTCATAGCTAGCATTCCGCCTAAAAAGCTAATAATAGTTATCAAATCGGCTTTCTTTTGCGGGTTTTCTATGGTGCAAACTAGATCAATGCATTTTTCTATTGCTTTCTTTGCACCTGTTAGTATTTTTGTACCGATTGGGACTGATACTGAGCTTTCTCTTTCCATTTTTGATACAAACGACAAAAATTTTAATTTAAATATTTAGTTTTGCTAAGGGGACTATGCCATCCAATGGATTTAATAAATTTCATTTTAGCTTTTATTTTGATTGGATGCATTTACTAACCGGTATTCCTCTTTCTATATCTGTACACTGTAATGAAAATGTCAAAGATCTCGCTATGTATTCCTAGATTGGACTTGCTGTGGTTTGCATTGCGGAATACCATGAGCTCAGTGCTGGAGTCAGGCCTTTTAGAGAGAGCTATGTACAGCTCCTTGTTTAGATCTTTCAGTCTTTTGACTGTTTTGCTTTTTGTAGAGTTTACGGTCCGCTTTTGTCTTATTGACTTCTTTGTATCTGTTTTTATGTTGATTTTCCCACTCTCTTCTTTGCTCTAGAAATAGCTACAAAATCGTATAGTACAGACACAGCCAGACACAGAGATAAGCTAATACATGAGGAGACATACACATTAGCACACTGCTTCTGACACAAGATACTCTGGTAGTCTAACCATTCCATTAGATCAGTTTAAGCAAGAGTGCAAATGAACATAAATAAAGGCAATATCACCACACAAGGAGAGAGGAAGAAAGAAAAAGCGTGCGGTCATATGCTCGCGTTCACACCAGATCCCGTTTGATCTCTGAAGTTAAGCGCGTGACAGCTTTGATAGTACTGCGATGGGAGACCGCGTGGGAACACAGAGTGCTGCACTTTTTGTCCGGCTCTGCACAAGAGAACACTGGGCACTAAGAGTCTGCTGTTGCACATCTGATAATGGCTAACATTAATGCTAAGTACAGCTAGCAATTTACACAAAACATTGGCTGTAGCTGGTAATTCTGAATGGAGAAAAGTTTTAGGTTTAAATTATTTTTGTGGTTTAGTTCCTTAGACTAGCAATGAGAGAAGTTAAGCTAAAAATAGATGCCGAGGGTATAGTGAAAGCAGCCCTATGCATTAAAAATATGAAGAATATGGATAAGGTTGTTGCATCCTGTGACAGAGTTAGTTATTTGGCGATCCTTAAGAATATACTTGATCGCAACATAAGAATAGAAAGTGAGCATAAAGACGGGAAAGAGAAGACTATCCTAGACATAGTTAAGAATGATATCTACCAATGCTTCACACACAACGAGTATATGGCACCAAGTGCGAACAACCTGCACTATGCGCTGAAGCATGGAAATGATAGATCCATTAGACAGGAGACTATCTATCTGATCAATGATCTTATAACGCCAAACACGCTCATATACAGCCCAGAGCACGGGATATACATACAGGTAGATAGAAATGAGCCATTGGAAAGCATAGACTCACAAGATGATAATGCTGATCTAAGCACTAGAACATACACTCTGCAGGTTGACGATGAAAACTTGGAAAATGTGCTCCAGATTACCTCAGAGAATCTAGACAGACAGAATCTATGCTATTTATCTATTTTGCCAGACTTAAAGTACATGGCTGCAATAAAAAAATACTCATCTGTAGAAGAGTTCTACACTTTAGACGAACTGTACACCCTGACAAAAGATGGTGTGCCACTGGTAGACTATGGGCTGAGGCTTATCCACGAGAAATACCATGATATTGTGGAACTAGTTGATTTAATTGAGGAGGTAAAGGTCATTTCCAACAAGCCACAGGATACGATTAAAAAAGAAGTTAGTGAGTTGTTTACCACTGAAGAGGACCTAAGGATAGCGATTTCTATCAGCAATCATGTAGAACAAATTGAGCATGAGAAGAAGATGCACAGTTACATGATTAGCATGATGGAATGCATAGAAAACAGCACAGATCTCTTGGATGAAAAAGATGGCTCGAAAGTACTGAAGATAAAGCAGGATCTAAGTGATTTTTATGAAAACTATGTCCACAGTACGGGTCTGATCGACATAATATTCAAAAAAGGAGATAAACTGAGTATCGAAAGGGAAGCAATGTCTGAGTGTCTTGACGCAAAAAAGGAGGAGTATAATAAAAAAGAAGGAAGTTTGGAAGAGTGGAAAAAAGAGACTAACTTGTCCTCTCAGGACTATGCCCAAACAGAAAAAGAAAAAAAAGATGAAATAAAAGCTCTAAAGCGCAGCATTAATCACCTAGAAAATGATATGAATCTGCAAGAATGGGCTATAAAAAGAGTGGCTTTAAAGTATGGTGATATTTGCACCTTTCAGAATATTTATCACATCCTATCCAGCCTAATCCCGGCGCAGAGAGACTGCATAGTAAAAAAAATGAAAGAGTTTGGCAAACTGCAGAAAATAAAAGTGGTAGTGGCAGAAGAAAAAAGAGAAGCTCTCAAATCAAAATACACACAAGTAAATACAGTCAAAATACTTGCAATAGCTGTTGTTTCTATAACAGTTTTAGCGCTATCAGCCAGCCTTTTAAAGAATAAAGCAGTAAAGTTTGTATGTCTTAATTAGATATTTGTCTATGGATAAACACTGTGTCATGAAATATTGCGAATTAAAATTCTGCTGGAGCTGCGCCATGTTACCAGCAATGGTAAGAAAACCTAGGACTTAAAAGATTTTTGCGATTTAAATTTTTCAAGAATCATGAAGGAGGTTAAATTAAGGATACATGTGAAGGAAATATGGCAGGCGTGCTATGCTCTTGACATCAGAGACCCGGATCTTTTTATTGGAGTTAACAAAAGTATAGACTATTTGGCTATACTAAAAGAGATATTTAAGAATGGCCTGGAAATAGAAGGCGAGTGCAGTGACGAAGAAAAGAAGGACATCCTGGATATAGTTAAAAACAATCTATACTACTACTTCATACATAACCCTTATGGAGTAGAAGCCATGTGGTTTCTATACGGTGCATTGAAGAAAAACGATGAATCGGTTAGATCAAAGGCTTTTGATTTGATTGACCAGCTTTTGAAATCAAACCCATACATATACAAACGAGAGCACGGGATACATATACAGGAGGGCATAAATGATAGTGCAAACAAAAGCCTGAGAACAAGAACATACACTCTGAAGGTGGATGATACAGATCCTTCATATCTGAAAAGTCTAGTGCAGCTCACCTCGGAGCACCTAGATAGGGAGCTTGCTTTTTATCTAGCTTTTGCAGCGAGGTCAGACAATATAAGCATGTATGAGAATTATACATTCCTAAAAGAGCCATGCTACACCTTTGAGGATCTGTATAACCTAACAAAAGACGATGTGCCGCTGGTAGATTATGGGCTGAAATTTATCTACACAAACTATCCAGAAATTGCTAAGCTGTCCCACAGGATTATGAAAAATGAATTTGAAACAAAAGAGGATACAGCCAACGAGATTTATAAGCTATTTGTCTCCGAAGAAAATCTAAGAATAGCCATGTCTGTCACTAATAACATAGAAAAAATTCGAAAAGAAAAGAAAGTAAGCTACCATCTGTTCAAAGCATTAGAGTACATGGCGAACAACACCGAGCTTCTAAAAGCAAGGGACGGCTCGAAAGCTCTGGAGATAAACACAGATCTAAGTAGTTTTAATAAAAATTACATAGTTGAAGATGACCGCTTAAGGAATATATGCAAGGAAAAAGAAGCTGAACTAAAGAAAGAAATAAAAAAGAAGGAAGAGGCTCTAGAAGAGGAAGAAAGAAAAAAAGTCAAAGACAGAGCTACTATTAATAGTCTAAAGCATGAAATATATCTGCTAGATTGTGCTCACTTAGTGGCAGGCCTACAAGATTTTAACGCCTTTCATCTTCGAGATAGCATGGAAATTCTACTAAATAAAAAATACTCTGTACAGCAGAAGTATCTAGTTAAAAAAATAGAAGAGTTTGAAAAAACGCTTAATAGCATAAAAGCAGCAGAAGAAGCATCTAAAAGAGAAAAAG